ACGTACGTACGTAGTATATATATATATATATATATATATATATATATATATATATATATATACATATATCCATATGAATTTTAATCATTTAATATTTACATATATTTTTTGTTTCAAATATTGGGTGAATATTTTTCAGAAATAAATTCTAGAGTTTGTTCTCTCAAGAATATAAATTGAACCAACAATGAAAACTCTTTATTGCCGGTTATATTAAAAAATTCAAGAATCTTTAACATACAGTGTAAATGAAATAATATAATTGAATCAGAGAGAGACAGAAGATTTAAGGAACTTTCTTATTTCAAAAACTATCAAGTGGTTTTATTTATCAAATTTGATATATTTCGCTACTGTATCTTTTTAGAGACAAGTGTTATCATTACCCTTAATACATATGGAAAAAATTGAAACGCGACCTTCGGATATAGTGATATCATCAAATGCGCGACTCTATCATTTAGTTGCCAACTGCAGAGTATCATATCAGCCCATCTATTCGTGGAAGGCTTAAGTTTGCAAACCAAGTTCATTATCGCAATATATGTGTCTCTCTTTAACATTTGCCTGTGCTTTTATAATTTCAGATATTATTTCGTGGAAAATAAGTTACCAATTGAATAACAGAATGACTCGAGTTATTAATTAACAAGTCAAAATTATGGTTGCGCGTATAACTTGATCAATCCTTTTCTAGTCGCGTCTGACAATTTGGAGAAAAATAGTTGGAATAACAAATTTCATACTTGTGACATACATACTCTTCTAATGTAGTGTATTTTAATGTGTTTTCAAACGCAATTGAATGTGTTTTCTAACGCAATCGAATTTTTACAGGCCGACGCAGAGCTATGTCAACATCAAGAGTAGCAGCCCGGTGTCTCCGAGAACGGTAGGAACGGGAGCGACGTACGTGCAGGGTGGCGCAGCGGCGTCGTCCGCGGCGGCAGCGGCAGCGGCCGCCGCGGCAACCGCGGGTGGCCCCGCCGTCGTCGCTGGTGGAGTCAGCACGGCGACGAGCAGCGGGAGCAGCGGTGTAGTTGGCGTTTCGAACGTTTTGTCGGCTACAGCGGGAAGCGGCAGTGGTGTAAACAACAGCAGTGCGAACAACAGCGGTGCGAGCAACACCAGCAGCGTGGCGGCGGCAGCGGCGGCGGCGGCGGTAGCGGTGGTGGCGGCGGTGGTGGCGGTGGTGGCAGTGCTGGCAGTAGCGGCGGCAGCGGCGGTGCTTCCTACGTCGCCGTGCCGATGCCCGGCGGTCTCCGGTACATCCATCCCTATCCACCGACCTCGGTGTCGACGTCGGCGGTAGCGGCGGTCGTCACCACCGCGTCATCGTCGCCGGCTGCATCCGTACCCGTACCCGCGCCCGCTACCGCACCCTCTGCGAACCAACAAACTGTCATCGCCAGCCAAACGCCGCCGCCGCCGCTCACCGGGACTGCCTATTCTTCGAGAGACGCGTATCGCGCCGGCACCACGAATGTAGGTATTTCCATGGTGTGAACCATGGAGTATTTCCATGTGTACCACACGCGCGCGCGTGCGTAACGTTCTCCGAGTCTTCTCCATCCATCGTCTCGGTCTTTGATATGACGTCGCGACGCATCGTACGGTCACGGTCATGTAAATACGCCCGGGTAGCGGCAACGATTCTTTTTTTGTCACGAACATTGCCGTGGGATTGTAATAAAAGAGCAAAAATAGAAACAAGTTGGGCAAGTATTATCTTATGTCTCGAAGAGGAAGATTCAAAGATTGTTATTTTCAATGACAGGACATTTGAATGTTAAGAAAAGGGACAACTAGAGGACTACTTTGACTTTGATTCTTTTATAAAGTCTTTATTCTCGGACATGTCAACTGGAATATTTTTACGCTTCCGTTTCGCTTGCAATTGATTTCCTTAAATTAAGACCTCCGCTGACCCGAATAATCGTTTTCTCTCTCTAACATCTCAACGTTTGATTACGTTGAAATATCTAATGGAAAATTCTAATTTGTTTTATTTTATCAATTCTTACTTAAGAATCTTTGGAAAATTTATAGTCGTTGAAAAAAAATTAATTTACTTTGTTTCGTAATTAGAACTGGCATAATCGCTGCTATTTGGGTTAATCTGAAATTATTCAAAGGAGCGATTCCTTAATTGTAACAAGCGGTGCATCGGTAAACGAGATGCGTCACGTCGCTGTACGCGTGGGAGCGTCGGAATAGAGATCAATATTAATTCGTAGCATCGGGCTCCGGAGTATAATCGGGACACGCATCGCGCAACGCATTCGCACGCATGCTATATCGGTCGGCCCTGTCCTTGACTTTCACCGACTATCGGCCCTCCACCTTTTTCCTCCCTTTTAACAATACGCGCGCGCGCGCGCGCGCGTTGACGCTCTGCAGTTTTAAATACGACATGTCATTATTAGCACAGAATTGATGAGCTGAACGATATTCTTACCAGACGATGTACTGTATTTTACAATGGTGTTCGATACGCCAATAAAGTATCCGTATGATGAAACCGTAAAAGTTGTATAATTAAAATTATCTTTTGAATACGATATTGTAAAAGTCAAATTAATTAAAATGAAATACGTAGAGTATCTATATGTACATTTAGGCGAATAGTAATGCGATTTGCAACATAACCAATTATTTACGACGTGGAATTTTCATGAAAAAGATATTTCTTGCTTCATAGAGTACCAAAATTTTTGGAAATTTATTCAGGAATTTTTAGACACGTTTATAAGTACGTTACTCAATTTCGATTGTGCGGTATACATTTTCATGAGAAGTCTCTTGTGTCTTAAATCAAGTTAAATCTACGGCATAACACAGTTCTAACGGACATTATCATATTTAGCTCGTAGCACTTATGCGAGTGGGCGGGTGAAAGTTACAGTCGCGCCTACTCAGTCTATACATATATGCACGGATTGTACGCGCGCGCACGCACACACACACACACACACACACACAGACAATCGCATCTCTCGTTATTTTGTTTGTTTCTTACGTACATTTCGAGTCGCATATTTAGCTGTTTCGCATGTCATAGCTTATAGAATGATTTTTACATAGTCATTACGGGATACAGTCGAGAGAGAGAGAGACTACGAACTTACCTTAGCTGCGCGGGACGAACTTGGATGAGCGAATGGGCAGCGATGAAGCCCGTAACTGCCGGTGGAAGTAAAGGGGGAAAAAGTTAAAACAGATGATTACGGAGCGCGGGAGACGTAGGGGACAGAGAGTAGTAGCGGTCGCGGAGTATATCGGTACCGCGTGCTTTCTTGAACCGGGTCATCGATTTTCCTGAAATAGTTTCGCAGCGAGAAGGTTACAGTGGAGAAATAGAGAGGGAGAGAGAGAGAGAGAGAGAGATAAATTGAATTCCTATAGCAAGGAACAAGTAAGACGATGATGAAAGAACAGAAAAAGAGGAAGAGAGATGGAAAAGAGAGATGGAACAGACTTCTAACAGTAATGTTTTCTTTTCAGGTTAACGAGAGAATCGCTATCAGCGCGAGTAGCAGTCCTCTATCACAGGTCGGTAGTGTTGCCGGAGTCGGTGTAGTGGCTGCAGCCGAGTACAGCACTATGGGAGCCAACGGCAGAGCCCCCGATCGACCGAAAATATCTCTCTTACCGCACCATGGCTCGACAGTGACGGCGGCACCGTCACCCACCGCCGCTGCTGTCGCATCGGATTATCAGCAGCATGTGACGGTGGTGACGGCAAGGAACAACCCGTCGCGGGTAGGCCTCACGCTCGTCCAACCGGAACTGTATTGCAGTCGCACCGCCGTCGATATGGCCAGTCTGCAGCAGGATGCGCCACCTTTCAAGAAGATCCGTTTGGGCCAGCCGCATCAGCAGGTGCAACAGTTGCAATCGCAACCACAGTCGCGTTGTCAAAGCTTGTCGCCCGCGGATCCCTGCGGCGGCAAGCAGGAACAGCAACACGTCGTGCAGTTGCAACAACCACTCAGGATAGACACCAGGGTGGGTGTGGCGACCACAGTCTATCTCATAGTCGAGAGAGATGATCTTTATATAACCGAGAGAATTATTATACATTAAAATTATATTATTTTCTCTGAGAATAATTGATAAATCGGTATACATATATTTAAATAGAGGATAATTCATGAAAATGCATTAATATTTTAACAACTAAATCTACATTGAAACGAACGAAATAGATTACGTGCATTTGTGAATCATCCTGTATGTATTAAATAAGAGGCAATGAAAAATATTGTAGAAATAAGTTAGACACGGTATGATATGACGAATTTTGGCTAGGAGCAGCCTGCCGTGGGTGCGTACACGCCGCAAACGGAAGCTATTTCGCCTACACTTCCAGAACCCAATACGCAGGAGGATGCGCAGTTTAAAAGTACCAAGGACGATCTTTTGCAACAAATTGCTAAGGTTGATAGAGAAATTGCTAAAAGAGAGAGTCAGTTGAACATGTTGCGGAAAAGAACGAAAGAATTGGAAGAAACAGCGAGTAAGCCTCTGGAAGCGGGTCTCAAACGTAACGTTGAGGAACAGTTGCAACCAAAGCATCAATCAATGGCGCAAAAAATTTATGCTGAAAACAGGGTAAACTATATTCAAATTATATAAAATCAAATTTAAACGTCATTTTATGTTTTTCTTTCTCTCAGTGTATCAATATGTTTTTTATATTTGTATCATCAGAATATTAGTGTATAAAGTGTACAAAAAATTAGATGAACAACAATTGACGAATTGATTTTTAATTCGACATATTTTTATTAACAGCGAAAAGCAGAGGAAGCTCACAGACTTTTGGAAAGATTGGGCTCCAAAGTGGAACTACCTTTGTACAATCAACCGTCGGATACGAGTATATACCAGGAGAATCGAACGCGGCATCAGGCGTGTATGCGAGCGAGACTCATAGCGTGGCTTCGGAGACAACACTCCGATCGCTCATCCATCCATCGGCAACAATCGCAAACGTATGCCATTTTGGTGCAGGAATGGCATCGTAAGGTTGAACGGTTGGAGGGAACGCAGAAAAGAAAATCGAAGGACACGAAGAATCGTGAGTTCTTCGAGAAGGTGTTCCCGGAGTTACGAAAACAGAGAGAAGACAAAGAGCGTTTCAACAGAGTTGGTGCTCGCATCAAGAGTGAAGCCGATCTAGAAGAGATAATGGACGGTCTACAAGAACAAGAGGTATATTGCGTTATTGCGATTGTATTAGTATCGAAGCAGTCGCGAAATAAGCAATGCGACACACATTACGAAAAAAGGAATTATTGGTTGGTGAGGATAAAGAAGATGGTATAGGGAGAAGTAAAAGAAAAGCACGTTACTAAATTAACGTTAATCAGACAAATGTTTTTACCGATGATTGGATGAAATGAAATGAAGAAGGGAATTTATAAACGATTTACTCAATCGAGAGATATTATTTTTGTCAATCAGCAATATTAATTTACAAAATAAAATAAAAATTATTTTGATGAGAAAATCTCCCTTCTGTTGAGATAAGGGAAAAACTATTTCTAAGTATTGCTTGAAAGAACAAATTAATTTATAAATATATAAGACATTTTTACGGATTTAGTCAATATTAGTTCTAAATTAATTTTTTATCAGAGATTTTTCTTATCTAATTTATTATAAGTTTTACTTTAGTTATCTCTTACTTTACGTCAAGAAATAATAACATTTTTTCTAAAACTACAGATATCTTTTAAGCTGAAAAAAATAGCACTTAATAATTAAACATTTAAGTTGAATGTCGTGTGTGCTGATAATAACAGATATAACTTTCACACTATTATAAGTTTTGAAATATATGTAAATGATATTAATTGCAAATGACATTACGTTCTTGGCACTGCAAAGGTTAATATCATAGTATTTTTTTCTGCTTTTTTGGTTGATTTGTCTCATCTTTTTTCGTTTTCTCTAGAACAATTCTGTGAGAGCGCCATTGTCGCATCAAACGAGTAAAAAGAGTCTGTTTCTTCATTATAAGCAGAGGATGGTAACTGACAGTTTCTTCCTATCTTAGACATTTGTTTTCTCTCTTGGTCTTCTACTGTATGCGGACCAGGAAAAGGATGGCAAACTGGATGGAGATGATTGGAAGTTACCATCGGACTAATAGATGCGCGGAATAATAAAGTTTTAACTAATTTAGATTTACAGTGTTGAATAAAAATTTTTTTTGCAAAACGTATCTCTGCAATTGGCGACATCACACAAAATTTTATTCTTCAGAAAATCTTCATTTTGATTGATGTTTTATTTGTTTTTCGTTGAAAAAGCATTCTTATTTTTTATTTTGATTTTTCACGTCTTCTTTTTTTATTAATTTTTGCTAAACTTTTTTTCTGATGATACTTCATGGAAGATATTTAACTTTTCTGATTCCCCAGGAAGAAACATTGCAAGATTTAAAAAATTTCATTAAAGCCCGTCAGGTCAGTAACGTGCACTTGCTCCCTTCAGCCTTACCTCACATCACACATTAGTTATGGATCGTGTTATATGTCGATAAATTCAAATTACACTAGCGTGATATAAAGTGTGAGAAGAAAATGAGATCCATAACTATTGCTACAAATCATTAATTGGGTATTAAAACGTGTTTATCTCACTATTCATAGGTATGCATATGCGTATTTGTTTCACTCATATATAAAGACATTAATTTTTGTCTTATTTTAAACAAAACATCATTTGCACATATCGATATGTTTTATTAATGTACAGCCAACTTTTTTACAAATAACATTCTCAAAATTTTTCTTAAAATAAGAAATGTATGCGCAGAGTACATTGATAAAACAATTTTTGGCGTTTACATCACGAATAAATAATTTAATAGATATTATTTTGTTTCGACAGATGGAGGATAAGAAGATGCGTTCGTATGCAGTCATACCGCCTCTCTTATTAGACGCGAAGCAACGAAGGATTGCGTTTCAGAATCGGAATGGATTACTGCAACCGGAGGAATTAGAAGCTCTGCATAGTGAACGTAAACTGATCAACGTGTGGAGTTCTGTAGAACACGAGTCGTTCAAGGAAAAATACCTTCAGCACCCTAAAAATTTCGGAGTGATAGCTCAATCGTTAGAACATAAGTCCGTTCCAGATTGTGTACATCACTACTACCTCACTAAGAAAGCGGAAAATTATAAGCAACTTTTAAGAAAATCGCGCCAGCGGACCCGTAGCTCTCGAAATAATCCGAATAATAAAGTAAGTGTGATTATACTTGACTGACACGTATCTGAAATGTATTGGAATTTGTAATGTTAGTTTCTAAAGTTATAATCTTTTACCACATTGCTGCATTAACTAAATTAAATTGTGATAATCGTTTGGAAATGAAGCATTTTATTTGCATTGCCAATTGTATGGCATTAAAACACGTTTCTTGCGATTGTTTCAGGTAAATAATACCAACTCGACTATCGGACCCATAGATATTTTAACGACAGGAGTAACGACGAGATTGCAGCGGGAGCAGCAACAAAAGACTCAAGAGAATCCTCAGAATAGTTCGGCGGCGAGTACGTCTACGTCCACAACGAGCACCACGGTTACATCGAGCGTGCCGTCGACAACTGTTACTACTACAACGGTGACGACGACGACGACTTCCATGAGCTCGATAACGTCGGGCGTAACGGATTCTATAACCGCATCAACGACAACGACAACGACATCTGTCCTGAACACCACCGCGACGTTAAGCGTCGCGGCGACGTCAACGACGTCGAGCACGAAGGATTCCAGAGAAGCGAGCAAGGAGAACAAAGAGAATAAGGGCGATTCGAAGGAGACTCAGGCGAAAGATTCGAAGGAAGAGTCGCAATCGGAGACGGCGTCGGGGAAGGATGTTGTGAAAGTAATGTACGTGTGAGATTTATTCTTTATTTTAAACGAAAATTTATAAATACATAATTCACGTTTATATCGACAATAATTATATACAATTCAGTAGGAATCACTTGAAATAGCATATAAAATGTTTCAGAATCATATCGATGTTCTTTTGACGTATGGCGCCGATTGAATTGTCACGCGAATATCATATACTCCGGTTTTTTTCCTTTTTTTTTTCTTTTTTTTTTCCCGAGCGTTTGCAGCGCGATATTGATCATTTTTGATACGCGAGTAAGAAATAAAAAGAGTTCGCGCGGCTCATTTTGCGAAACGCACATACCAATTGGTCCCGATTCTGATCTATATAAAAGCGTATACGCGGACTGATTGAATGAACCGTATCCATCGGCCGGAAGATATTCATTCCGCAAACATACCCCACTCCCGACGAACCAATCTCAATATTGTCCATGGTGGGAGAGACGACCCGCGAATACCCATTTAACGATTACAATACGTCGCCCGGTGGCGCACGAATATTACAAAACTACGCGCAAAAGAGAGTTTAATCTGCCCATTTTTTTGCCGCGCTGTACTAATAGAGATAAGTTTTACCTGCCTATCTCTTGAGCGATTGCGCGGTGATTGAACCACCGAAGAAGCGAGTTGTTGAAGCGCGAAAAGCGTCAGTTGGGGAGGGGAGGGGGGTGACGGGATGGAGTGAGATGCGGCTGTGGCTGAACAGGGGTGGGGAGGAGATCAATTATTAGCAGATTGTAATGCTAATCAATGGTTACCGGCTAGTGGATTATGTTTACGTAGGCTCTCATCATTGTAATTGACTCGATTGTTAGAAATGTGATTCTGTCCGATGAATATCGAACTGCTGCCGCTTCTTAGGGCTTACACGCGCAATCGGCAATTAATTAATCTAGAGGATGCAACGCGTTTCCACAGATTTTATCGTGACAAAAAATTGTAGCGTTTTATTTTCCGAAGAGTAAAAGTATGAATTAAATAAAAATATTAACAGATTATTGTCAACACGAGAAATGTTTATATTATATATGATTTATATTTGTTTAAGCGAATTGAATTTATATGCATTAATATTGTTACAGAATGGAAGGAAAAGGCGCACTGTCTTCGTCCTCGGCCTCGTCGTTGAACATTAACGCGACGAACGTTTCAACCATCCAGTCAGACTTCAAGGAATCCAGCAAGAAGAAGCCGGGTTGCAGGGACACGGGGAGCAGCGGCGCTAACGTGGGAGCTAGCGGCAGAATAAAGGATAAGAAGAAGGAGAATCACACCCCTATGGAGACCAGCGACGAGGAGGCACCGTCGATCGACGTCATCGGTAAGTACGCAACTAATTGATTTCCTCGCCTCCGTTTCGCATCAGTCCTTCATGGCTCTGATTCCGACAGTTGGATTCATATTGTAGCGCACAATTGCAATCGATAAACTATATCTGTGCAAACTACATTGTGAAACAATATGAGCGCATTGAACATTAGGTAACTGACAGCGATGGAGAGAAGAGAAAAAATGAAGATAAATGATATACTGCGTGATTTATTAAAATTATCCCAAGTCTCAGAGGGTTAATCCAACATATAGATAACGCGAAATAACATTCTCAATTATCATATCCATCCCATCATCGATGCACTTTCGGAAAAGCGCCATTGATTTATTAATTTCATTGTGTTTGCTTTGGCGATGGAAATGGCAGGATATTTAATAATATTATAATCTCTCGTCTCTCGTGGTTTATTTCTGTAAATATGACGAATAGTCTTCGGCAAATTGGACATTTTGCATTAAGTTGCGTACTTATTTAAATTCAGGAGAAAATTATCGAGATATTATACATTATTCAAGTATAAAGAACGATTCCATGCGGCTGGAGTTTTTCTGTGCAAGACGAATGGAAAAGCGGCAATGAATTGAGATTTAAATTTCACTTTAGATTCAATTTTACAGGTAAATTTAACGTTTAAATACAGTTGTGTGTACGCGCTGTTCCGCTTCACATAGAGAAATTAGCATTTGCTTTACATCGACTACATAACTATGCCGCAAATTTCTATCGGTTTTTGTACAATTTGTTGATGCACGGAGAATGCATCAACGCGCAAAACATTGCGGTGTGTAACATCAAGATGTACGTTAAAGAATACGTATAAGGAGAGAGAAACGCGATTAGTTACTCTGTCTACTTAAAAACACTAAACCAATCAATAATTATATAAATTCTCCTTTAACGCTTGTTCGCTAGGCTTGCTCGCTGTTTAACGCTAGGCTAATGATTTATACATTTCTGAGGTAATGTAAGAACGTGCTTTAATGTCGAATGTTAAGCATAATGTTCATTTCGTTGCATTCTACAATAGTCTTTGCCGATCTAGTTTGTTTACAATTAAATATTCAAGTATCGATATTCCATTTTGTTCTTTGATAGTCTTGTTTCTCTTCTTGCTGAGCGGAATCTTCCCTCTTCTCGTTCTTTCCATGAATATTTGGGGACAGATGAGGGAAAAGTCTGAAAGAAATAGAATTGTATTAGAGTGTTGCTTTTCATGTGTTGGTTATTTTGAAAACGGCTTGACAAATGTGAGAAAATTGGAAAAAAAAATATAGTGCAGTTGCACACTATATTTTACGGTTTATGAATTTAATTAACATTAAAAAATTATTACAGTAAAGAGAAGGGCTGCAAACGCATTTCGTTAAATGAATGATGAATCGTTTCTTTTGCAAGGATCTAATTATCTCACAAAGAATATAACTTTAGCCGTTTGAAGAATAATTACATTATCTCAACGCTTACCTGTCCGCAAAGAGAAAGAGAATCATGTCCTTTCACGGAGCGTCCTGAGTGGACGAAGCGTCCGCGTCGCGACTCGACGCGTTCGCGTCCGTGGTGCCCGGCCTCTCTTCTTCGTTCGCGTGGCACATCTTCCGGTGTTTGTGAACAAAGTAGTAGCTCGGGAACTTGCAGCCGCAGATCTTGCAGGGATAATACTGCACGTTCAAGTCCAATAATCGAACTTCTCGTCTATTTCCTCGCGCAGTGTCTTCCCTCGGTCCATGATTAGCACCGCCACCGTCACCGCCACCGCCGCCACTACCACCACCACCACCACCACCACCACCACCGCCGCCACCGCCGCCACTACCACCACCGCCGCCACCACCACCACCACCGTCGGTTGCCACCTCGTTGATTCTTGTCGGTAGCAAGTGCCGCTTAGCGTGTTTCCTATAGCAGTATTGCGATTTGAAGGTGTGCTTGCAGTAACCGCAGGTGTAGCAGCCGCCACTATTGCCATTGCTGCCGTCGTTGCTCGAGTCGTTGCTGGGACTGTGCACGAGGCTGCCTCCTCTCGTCCCCGGCCCGCCGTTCTCATCATTCTCACTCGACAAATCTTCGCCTTCCGGTAGCTGACAGTTTCTCGGGGAGCGAGCTTGCATGTTGGGCCCGTGCGGTGTAGTCGACGAGTAGTTTTCATTCAGGACTCGGTGAAAGCGCACCGGTCCGTCGCAGCATGCGATGTCATACACCACGGAGAAGACAGTGCTCTTGGAGGAGGATGAGGAGGAGGAGGTGGTGGTGGTGGTGGTGGTCTCCTTCGCGTTCGAGGCTCGAGCTCGGCGACGTGACGAGCGACCTCGATCGTGTTCGGCGATGGCTCCGACATTGCTGTTGTTGTTACCGCGATTGCGATCATCAATGGATACCGTGGCGCACATCTTGCGCTGCTGATCGTTGCTAGAAACTTCGACTTCCTGTTCTCCTCGTTGAATCTCTCGAACTTCTGCCGATTTGTCGTTGCTGTGGTGCGGTATAGGCGAGTTCGTGCGCGACACGGAGGACAGAGCGGGCGAAATGGAGCGCGCTGGCGATGATGTTCTCGTCGTAGAGTTCGTCGTTGTGTTCGTCACGGCGAACGCAGTGAACGCGGCCGCGGCTGCGGCCACGAACGGTAGGGTGGATACAGTAGAAACGATCTCCGGTGTTCTCGAACGACGGCTCAATCGTTGACGCTTGTGATGGGTGTGCGAAGTCGGCGAGGACTCGGGTAGCTTCGACGCTTCACCGACGCTGCAAACATTCACGTATTTCTTTATTGATCCTTGGATATCTTGATTTCTCTATTGGTCTTTTCTTAGGTATCTCTAAATATGTTTAAATCTCTGAATATCTAAATGCTCTTCGAACGACATTATTATTTCATAATTATTGCTGTACTCTACTTAATTTTGTCATATTGCTATTGAAGTTTATTATTAATTTACAAATCATGACAAAATCATGACAAGCTGCTAGTGTTGCATATGCTTCCATCGACAAGAGAGAAAATTAGATTACTCAAGTTTACTTATATATATTAGGATTAATGAAATTAATTCTATAAAATTTATCTTTATTAATCCTGTTATATATTAGTAATTAGAAATTTCTAGAATTAAACAACTATAATTTTTTATTCTTTTAACACATACACACGTTAGACCAAAGCTCGCGAAAAGATTTCAACACACACACACACACACTGCGAACCTATAATGCGCGCACTGCTCTTGCTTCTCTCTCGGAGCTGCGATGACGACGGGCGGCTGCATCAACGGCTGCATCGACAGATGCGGCATGGCCGGTGCCGTCGGTGCAGTCGGCGGATACGCGAGCGACGTCGTCGGGGGCCAGCATAGCGGCGGGCCCACCACCAGCCTGCTTGGTATGGGTCTCAGGATGCTCCCCGGCGGCGCGTTTGTTGTCGACGTGGACGTCGGTACCGGCGGTGGTAGCGGCGGCGGCGCTCGCAGCCTCAGCAGCGCGGCTCTGCATTGCTCGAGAGCACCTGGCATGTGCAGCAAATGCGTTGCCAGCAGCACACTGTAAACGTTGTCCAGCGTCACCTCCAGTCGGCCGGTGTACATGTAGTTCAACAGCGGGGCGAAAGCCTCTCCACCTAACATCAAATCAAAGCCGAAAGCTCGTCAATTGCCGTTGATCGTCGTTAATTTGTCAAAGGCGTGATATAATACTCGAGCACTTTTTTTGCTTGTATTTATTTTATGAAGATACAAGGAAAAATAAGAAATGTTGCATCTATTCTATTGTCATAACTTGAAATTTGAAAAATTTGACGTCAAGTCCGAGAGAGAAGTGATCGTTAATATAATTTTCCATCGCGCGAATACTTGAGGATTAACAATTATGCTGAAGGGTATCTAGTTTTTAATTAGATTTTAATTCACAAGTTATGAATTAGAATATGACATAAATTATTTTGATGTAAGTGTGCAGTCGCAATTACTTTGATAGGTAGAGAAGGTACGATTGATGACACGAATGTGAAGCGTTCCGTTTTCGAAAACTGCAAAAGTGGACTTACACCACGCTTGTGAACCAATTATCAGATTGGATTGGATTGAATTGGATAATTATTGGAAAATCCCAATGAGAGATTGAAAGCAGCGGCGCACGACCGATAAAAGTTTGTTAATTATTCCATCTCGCTGGCGGTTGATTGTTATTATTTGAAAGTATTTCTCGAAATGCTGTTTTTTCGAAACAAAATCTGAATTTTGCATTATCGTCATGTTTAATGCGTTCTACGGATACTGTTCCGCGACGAAAAGTCGGAAGACGGAAAATAGGAAGATAGGAAACGATTGATAGAAACTTTTTTCTGGAAAGAAAACTTGAATTTTTCACGGAATACTGTAAATGAATATTTTATATTATCATAGCAGACAAATTTCAAAAAATTTTAATTAGAATTTACATTAACAAACTTAAGATACAAACGTCTAATTTCATTTTTAAAACAATTAATTTTTTACACATAATATAAACTTTTCAGTATAATAGTTGGGCATCTATCTTCACGTTGCCAGTGCAACGTTACGAAAATATTTAATCCTTTAAGTATTCGCATGTTATTAATTCAACAATTTTTCTGTTGCATATTTTATATTTTACATATAAAAGAAATAGTGGTAAACGTTTCTATTCTAATGGCGAATCGTCAAAATTACGATAACAGAAAGTGGATATTTTTTATTAACCGAAAGATTTTATTATAAAAAAATGTAGAGACTCTGTCCGAAGAAATGTGAAAATCAGTGTTTTTGATTTGTCGAACGACACACATATATATTTACCGATGGACGAGACCGACACAGAGGTGACCGGTCGCGGCGATTGCTCATTGGCGGTCGTGACGGCGATGTTGGCGGGATCGTAGAGCGAATTCACTGTCGCCATCGACGATGACGTCGTAGTCATCGTCGTCGTCTGTGCCGCGCTCGCCAGCAGGGCCTTGAGGTAACCGCTGTGGGCCGCGAGTACACCCTTATGTGCGACGAACTGGTGCTCACCCTCGTTGCCGACTCGCACCACCGTATCGGGCGGCGAGAACGTGTCCTGGAGACATGGATAGCCGGTGCTCGCGGCGGTGCCACCGCCGAACCATGCTCTGTACAGACCGTACATTGTAGATCGATCTTTATAGATTTCCGTGATATGACACTGCCTTTAAAAGGAATTTTTTCCACCCTTTTTGCACGTTTAACACGTTTCAACGTACATAATGTACGTACGAATGATATATTTTCGATTTACTGTGAAGATCGGACAGATCACGAGCGGATCGTAAGAGTTCTATAAAATTAAGACATGATGAGTGAAGAAACACCGAGCGCTCCATCGTTGCTGAGGAGCGCGCAAAGTGGTTGACGAGTGGTCGACGATCGCGTCGTCATCGTTACTTTATTTTTCCGTTCTCCACAGAATCCACAAACGGAAATCCAAGTTTCGATAAGTTACGTCTGTACTTTTCCGCAATTCTCGCGAAACACTTTGCAGCTTTAGAATGCAGCTCCGACGTTAGATGGAATTTCTCCACGTGCGACCTTCGAAAATACTGCAGTCTCGGATTCGACGCGCTATCATAACTCGAACTCGGATGAGCTGTTAACGCGATAAAATCCGCGTCAGTCAACGAATTTTTCCGATGCGACGGAGGTATGTTTAGCCGATTTACTTGGGCGCGATTTCAGTTATCGGGAAGATAGAATCGCGCATTCGGCCCGATCTCTCGCGGTTCTTCGTGATTTGAACGCCGGAACGCCGGAACGCCGGCGGCGGCTGGCAGGCGCGCACCATCGCACTGTTATCAGCTGCGCGGTGGTCGCGCTCTCGCTTTTTCGCCGAGCCGTACCTTCTACCGCCCTACGCGACGCGCGTAGGGTTGGTTCAACCCCCTTTCGGTACACCCGAGAACCGCCCCCGACGAGCGTAGATTGGTGGCGGTCACCGCGATCACGACCGCATAACCTGCACTTGCGCGGCCGGAGAAGATCCTCCGAGCGCGTAGAAGAAGAAGGATGTGCTCCTGATCGCGCGCCACCGCTTCGCGCACGGTACGCGAGGAATTCGTCGGCGTGATCGCGCCCTTCGAACGACGGTGGATTATTAATTTTTTACCGTCTAAGCGTCATTTATTCCGCGCTCTGAGATTAATTCCCTCAAGTCACAAGAGGATAAAAGATTCATGACAATTGTAGGGATAAGTAGCACGAAATGCATGAATATATACGCGTAAACAAAATAGTGATGATGCAGAGCCTTTTCTCGACTAAAACTAGGGGAGAAAAGCGGAATTTAGAGAATAGAAAAATCTACACTAATTATATTCTGCCAAAAATGTCATTAATCAACGACTATAATTTTGCAATAATTATAATTTTGATTAAAAATAAAGTAATTTGCAGTTGAAAGAGAGTTTCGGCAGAAGTGGCGTGCGCGGGCATAGTAGCACAGTAGAGCATAAAAACGTTATCGCGAACAATATAGATAACATATCGTGATAACGGTGCGTGTGTCGTCACAATTCAGGGTGCAACCTATCCATGCCATTGTGTCACGCTACGTTATAATTGCGAGACTACGAGGTAATAACGAGGTTGAATCCCACACGCGGGGCAAATCGTACAAGATCGACTTCGATACTCTTGCCTTTCATGAGAACGTTCCGAATATCACTATTAATAAATCGAGTGAATATCAATCGGAGAAATGATTAGAGTCAATTCGAGAATATTAATATTCAATCAACAATTGAACAAGTTAATTAGTTGATCTACTAGTCTCTGCATTAAATCACATATATATTTCATCGTGCAATGAATGGCGTTTTTCGAAGACCGCAGATATTTTCAAGGAAGAGAGAGACACTTGCAAAATTGATCCAATCGATGACTTTATCGATCGAATAATAATAATGATATCGTGCGTAAAAAATAGAAAACGAAGAAATCTCGTGACGCGGCGTCAAGTAGCGGTTTTACATGTTTATCGGCTTGAAACGCGAGGCAGAGCAAACGCGGGCGATAACAGAAACGAATAAAGAAACGCGGAGAAAGGAAACGAAAGATCTTTCGAGAGCTGCCTAGAGAAGATGATGAGAGAAGGCGCTCTCGCGATCTTTCGCCGCGAGATGCGTCTTTTGCCGGTTTCTTCTCGATTCTCTCTCTCTCGCTTTTTCTTTCCCTCTTTTTCTCCGCTCTCTCGCCCGCGCCTGGCCTCTGATGTTTTTCATCAAATTAACTCTCGCGGCAACGAAGAGAGTATGCGTTCTCCTCTATCTCCCTCCGCTCTCCGCGGCGCCGGCCGTGTTTGCATAATATCGTTTATAATTCAGCTCGCGCTGAATTCCACTTTATTCCGGGGCCGCGATCGTTCGCTCCACGACCCTCTTCTTCGTTCTCTCTTCGTGCCCTCTTCCTCCTCCGCCAAGAGGGCACCCGGTGCGCGCTTTCGGGACGCGCGGTGCCGCTGCGAGCCCACCTTTTCACCACTCATCCCTGTCTCTCGTCTTGTCAGCGGTTCCGTTTTTCATTCTCGCGAGGAAATTGAGCGATATCCGGTTCCGTAGTTTTGCTTTCGTCGGGAAGTTAACGTCCGTAGTCGAATGCGAGAAGAGAACTGAAATCACCGGCGATCGGAGTGATTCTATTCTCGCGCGAGGCAGCAGTTTTGTTTTTCGATATTCTTTATAAGAATGAGAGATGGAGAGAAAGCGACTTTCAACCCTTTCAATTTTTATTGCAAAGAGAAAAAATCTGATATACGAGATATTTAAACGTGTTTATAATTGATACGATAATGTTAAAGCGACATTTATTATACTAGCAAATAATTTTCATTTATTGTTACTAGAAAATGATCGGTCCGTGTGTAAATAATACATTGGGATACGAAGGGAAACGGTTCGCTCATCTTCGATGACCGTCCATCGAATCGACTGCGATTTTTCGCGATGCGCGCACGCGTCCATAAACAAACGCGCGATCGTCGGCGAGAATCCGTCGCTGCCGGGATCCAGAATGGGGACTCGGCGATTACGCACATTTCCCAGGAGGCCGTCGTTTCAAACTAGAGCTAACAGAGGCAGCAGCCCCTCGCGCTTTCCGTCCCCCTCTGTCGTGTCGACCCCCTTCCGGCAACATCGTCGCGATCAGCGGTATCGTCGAGATTGTCGTTGGGCGGTCGTTGCAATAGCAATCAAACAATGTGGAATACAATGGCCAAGTACCCCGTGGACGGAGCGAAACTTCCCCAACCATGACACACCGCGTGCAAAACTCTCCCCGGATGCTTCCGCCCGAAGTACCAATGATAGCGTGAAACGTAGAAATAACAAGCAATTATCGTAGCAAGAAGATTTAAAATAAAAATAGTAAAAGAGGTGAGATGAAAAATGTTACAAAATCACCGCTTATCAACGATGACAATTTGACAATATTGTAAATAATTTGTATTTATATACTCTGTTGAAAATTATTTCCCCAATGTATTTTTCTTTTAATTGGCCGGTTTGCCATTACCAATGGCCACTTTAATCGGGAAGATGGGAATTCGCGCGGACAGGGCCCCGGGACTCTCCGCACCGGAAATAATCGAGGGCGAGGCGGATGAGTACACAGCGGCGCGAGGAGAAGGAGAGGACTCTCTCTTTCTCTCTCGAGGAGAGACGAAAGAACGCTCGCGGTTTAATGCTTCCAACGTCGGTCGAGACAAGCTGAGCAAACACTTTTCGCGATATTACCAGGCCCTGTGCGCGGACTTATATACCGCGTGTTCTCCGCCGCGTTTTCGCCGCAGGAGCTCTCTCAACCCCCCCTTTACGTTTCCACTCTCATCTTCCCGGTCTTTTCTCCTCCGCAAGAAAATAAATAGTCACTGTTCTTATTTATTTGCTCGCTGTTTTGCGCGTTATTGACTTCGCAACGGTTAAATCTCGATACTCGCCGCGATGAACTTTCCGTAAACGTTATAATTAATTAGCGAGCTACGCGGAGAACCTCACAGACCGATATCGAGTGTTTCGTTCATAATACAATTTTCTCCGTATAAAATCTCTTCGTGTTACATCTATACGTATATTTAAATAGCGAAAGAGTGGTTATAAAGAAGATTGACGTTATTACTCACATTCGTTGTAAATGTCACCGCGCAATCGCGTTTTTCGTCGGGATCGGTCAGTAATTTGATTGCAATACGTTCTTCACTGAAGAAACGAATACGTTTTCTCGAATAGAAAACGCTTTAGTTGAAAACGTCAAATTTATTTACCTCGTTAAATAAACTTGTTTTGAACCGAATAATTTTTCGATAGATTTTCCGAACGCTGTAACGAAGGCATCTCTTATTTTAGCGAGAGAAACGGATGAAAATATCGCAAATATTAATTCACGAAAAAATTTGCTCAGAAATAAGTAAAGTTGTGCCATTTTCTCTAATTAACAATAATTTCTCTAGAAACAAAATAAAAAATTGGAAGGCTATTTGATGTTGAGATAATTAATTCCAGAGTTATTTTTTAACTAATTTTTAGACATTAACGACGACAATGCGTTAATAAGACTAACGCCGTTTATTGTGTCGAGAAGTTTATTGAAACAAAAAGAACAGATTCAAGCTGGAAATCCTCTTGAAATGCGGGAATGCAATAATTGCACCGTCAGCATCCCTAGATCGGACTTTACGAACGCGGACGCTAATGTGGTTCTATTTGTAGTTAATACGCAGCAGATCAGTGCACGCGGGAGAGTGTTAACTCAATAATACGCGAATAAATGGCGACGGCTCGCGCGCCCTCCTAGATCACACGCATCGTGATCGCGCAGTAGTCATAGCAAATTGCTGGGAAAATTAAATGCCCGGGAATCCATTCGTCATGCTGGTCAGCGGCGGTGGCGACGGTGGTGGTAGCAATGGCGATGGATGGGGTGGAAATGGGGAGGTGAAGGCGGGGGCAAACGGGGGTGGAAACTCGCGCGCGCGCGCAACTCGCACGAGCTAATTAGCGTCTTGATTTACTTAATCCCAATTAATGCCTCCGTTATGCCGACTCTCTCTCTCTCTCTCTCTCTCTCTCTCTCTCTCTCTCTCTCTCTCTCTCTCTCTCTCTCTCTCTCTCTCTTGCTCTC